TTTCGAACTGTTGACCTTTTGGTTAACAGCCCAGTGCTTAACCACTGCACCACCAGGGCTCCTTCTTCTTTGGTACACTAGGACAAAAAATAGCATATCTTGCACATCTATGACAAATATAGTATTTTTTATATATATAGAACCAGGCTTTTATTTGGGGTAGAAAAAAGAAAATGCATATTTACTGTTAGGAAGTGAATATGTATGACAGCAATGAGAGGGAATTGATATTGTTTGAGAGACGAAAAAAAAAAGTAGATTGCTCTGCCTTATCAGAAATAATTAGGAAGCAGAGTTGTGCAGAAACCAATGGAAAAAAGCGGTTCTAGAACGTTTCTACAATGAACAAGTTTTTTTTTTTTTTTTTAATGATCTTTTTTTATCCCTCCCAAAAATTTAGACTTAGAGAACTCAGTCATGAATAAGGACTAGTGGATGACTACTGACAGGAAATTCAAGATGTGGACTAATTACGATGAGAACAACATTTCAGTAGGATTCTTGTTCAGAGCTTATACTCTGGCAAGAGAAGAGAGAAATGGGGAAAGCCACAGAAGATGGAATCCATTACACTGTACAGAAAGGCCGTGGGGTGTCTGCCATCCTGATGACTCTCTGAAGCAGCTTCAAAGAAAAATGCTCAGAGAGGGCATCATGGCATAGGTGAGTCCATCGTTATTTCCGGCTTGATGTCAGAAGGGGTGCAAACCTCACCCCTAAGTTTCAGGTATCTCTCAAACCCACAGGGAACAATAACACTCGGTTCTTATTAATACAGGCGACAGCTGGCTGCAGAAGAAACCAATTACATTTTTATCTCTTGGGAAGAAAGGACCCACAGACATGTGGCTGTGGTTTTGATCACATTGCTCCCCTTCTCAGGACCCTGTAGGGGCTTCTCAGTGTCACTTGCGTGTAATGAAAACACCTCAGCTCTCTCTCTGTTCTGAGGCTTGTCTATTAGCTGAGTGCTCCACCATGCTTTTCCTAAATGCTTTCATCTTTAGCTACACCACGACCCACACTGACAAGTCTGCCAACGAGTGAAAAAGCTGCAGCCTGGCTTCCCACAAGGGGAATATATACATTTTAATAGCAGACGTTCAGAGACGGAGCACCTGCTGCCTGCCTTCGCTTTCCGACTGGGAACTGGTGACAGGCCCGCAGGGAAGGGCAGAGGCTGCTAACTGCCATTCTGCATATACCCCGGGCTGTTCCCACTTAATTTAAGCCTGAAAAAACAACCCATCTTGTTCTAGAGACAGGGTAGAGACTTCCCAGGTAAACAGAACTCTGTCAGAGCTAAAGGTCCTCTTGATTCCCCGGAGCCCCTGTGAACGGCACTGATTGCATAAGCTGGAACCGGCATGGCTTCTCTTGCACACACAGCATTTGCCAAAATGGAAACATCCATCGCCTACGCATGTTTATGGAAACTAAAAGACAGAAAGGCATAATACGTAAGATTTGGAACTGCCAGTGTATCCTGTTCGGTCTCTTCAAGTGTGTGGCTCTTGGTTTTGGGTACATATAATTCAGTGATGGAGAAAAGACACAAATTTCCATAAAACAAGACTGGACGAGCTAAATGGACACAGCACAGGTGAATGCATAGGTAAAATGTCCTGAGTTGTACACAAAGTTTGTGCATTTCCCTGTATGTAAATTATAAGTCAATAAAGCACTTACAAAAAAAAAAAAAGCCCAAGGGAGACAGTGCCAGCCTGTCCTAGAACATGGGGGTGGGAATAGTTAGGAGAGGGCAGATACAGAAGAAAACCCTTTCTTTAGATTCTTTCCCTTACCCTGTAGTCAGGGTCCCCTCCCCCAGGGTCTTTCCTCTAAAAGGACCTCACTGGTGCTTGCTGACGAAGCAATGGCACTAGCATCTGAGGATGTTAGTGAAGGACAACATAGGAGAGTTGCCCGTTTCATTTCACATAGAAGGAAACCAAGGACCAGAGGTTTAGATATAAGTTTGGCGGTAGAAAACCTAGGTGTCCATCCTAGTCCGAATTTCAATTCAAGGCTCTTTCTCTACACCAGTACTGCCAAGGGCCACTAGGAAATTTGTGTGGTTGCCAGACTTCCATTCTAAACCTGTGAAAAATCAAATGTTAAAAGATACGTAGCAGCTAGGTCATGGTAATCTAAGTGTCAAAGCGGGTTACCAAACAATATATATCATCTCAATTTTGTGGGGGTGGGGGGAGTACACCCAGAAGACAAAAAAAAAAAAAGAAACCATAGGGATGATCACCACAATAGTAACAGTGCTTATCTCTGGGTAGGAGAATTATAGAAGATTTTTATGTGCTTTTCTTTTTTTGTTGTTTTTAATAAATGAATATGTATTAATTTTTTATTCATAAAAAATGGACATTGTAATGCCATCTAGATTTTCTCACAACTCTGGATGGAACTTTAGTTTGCTTGTTTTACTAAAAGCAAACATTTCTTGAGAACAGCAAAAAAAAGATTCACTAGGTAAATACTGACTGGCTGCTATGTGAAGAAGAGACCTATATCATCCCATCTAAGCAAAGATTTCCCCCAGACATTAAAAGATTCATTTATAGTGTATCTTTAGGTAAATTATCTTAAAAAAGCTCCCCAAACTGACTTTAACAGTGAGGTGAGGGAAACCCTACTCTCATAACACTGCTTTACATGTTCACCTTTCAACAACTTCTTCCTACACTGAACAGCGAAGGGATATGTTCTCATTTGGCACATAAGTCATAATAACTGGCTGTTTTCAGATAGGGTTAGTGAATGACACCAATAGCTCGTTGTGAATCAGTTAACAGAACTTTCCAGCCTAGACTGGTGTTTGTGAAGGCTGCCGACAGGGTTCCTCTGAGGAAAAACATCTTCAAAGTCCCAGGAGAAGCACTTTTACCCTTAACAGACGTGTTTCCTGTCCTCAGCTTCAAATATATGGGAGGCTGCTATGAAATGTGACACAGAAAAAGAACATCAGGGACGGTGGCTTCTGACAAAGAGTGATTAAAATAGAAAGGGTCACATGGAAATCGGAAAATGACTTGGGGCCAGTCCTGCTAACTCACATGATAGGCTGGCCCCTTAATTCTCTCTCTGCCTGACTCTTCTCACCTGAACCCTATGAAAATGCTAGTCCCTGTCCACCTCCCCATGGGTAAGAAGGGAACTAACTTTGGAGTCATGGACTTGGGTTCAGTTTCCCTCTCTGCTACTTCTAGTTTCCTCATCCTTGAAATGAGGAAAAATGAATCCAACCTCAAAGTTGTTAAAAGGATTAAATGGCATACTGTACACACATGGAGTTGCCATGAGTTGGAATTGAATCGACAGCAACTGGTTTTTATATGAGAGGTACCCAACAAATTCAAAATGTAGTAACATGGACAAAATAGAGTAACGTGAAAACATTTTGGAGATATGCTACATGAATGCAAGATACAGTCATTCCTAAAGTCAGAACCTAAATCAAAGATAAGATGTCAGTTAAAAGATGGAGGAGTGATTACTTAAGGGGGCTGAGTGTCTGTTTAGGAGATGAAAAACATTTGAAAATGGATAGTGGTGACAGCTGCACAACATGGTGGACGTAATGAACGTCACTGAATTGTACACTTAAAAACAGTTAAAATGGCAAATGTTTTGTTATATATATTTTACCACAATAATAATAAGAAGAAAACATGGAGAAAAAAAGTGAATCCTTTTGCCTTTTAATCATTTGTCATGTTCAAGTCAGAGTGCTTGGGTATTTGAAATTTAGCTGCTTAAGTAATGTTCCCACATGCTCTAAAAGGGCTGGTCCTATGGTCAAAGGGACAGGTCTTAAAAGTAAATAGTTTCTGGGGAACTTGTCCCTTCATAACCACCTTTAAACCACAGCTAAGTCCTAAACAAGCATCAGCTGTGCCTTTAACCTAGCTTGACTTCTCTCTCTCCCAATTTAGGTTTCACCAGGAGGGAGCATGGCACTTGGCCAGTGACCAGGGGTTGCCCACTTGTCTGCTTTTAGGAAAGGATCTTCCAATCAGGGTCACCAACCCCCAATAGAGGGGGTGAGAGATTGTATCAAGATGAAGGGCAAAGCTTCTGCTACTATCCACTGAGCATCAGAAACTTTGTTAGTCACATGCTGAGGGAGCATAGTTTGAACAAGATAGTTCTCCAAGCAGCTTCCGTCTTACGAGGCACGCTAGGCGAGATGGCATAAGCTAGCTTGAAGAGGCACAGAGAGAGGCAGTAGTGATGAGAAAGGAGTGAGGAAGTCAGACTGAGGAGATTATGGAACGCTTCATGCCTGAGGTTTGGCATGAGCCCTGAAGGAAGACCTAGGTACTCAGATGACAACAACAGGGAAAAAGTTAACAATGTATCTCTTGAAAACAGTCTGTATGAAGTGGAACAGGATTTCCTTTACTTTACAACTAAGGTTTTCCTCTCTCAGGGGCAGTGCTCACCCTGCCACCTCCAAAATACACATCTGGGGCTTATACAGGGAAGCCTGGTTCCCTCGGAATGACAGCATTCCCTTGAAGTGGATTCTCCTAGTACAAAATGGGTTCTCTGGTACGTTTTTCAATAAGGCAGATGGCAAGAACTCAACTAATTAGTTTGTGCTTTTTTCTTATTCATTATTTTGGGTAAGGATGATTTCTCTGGCCTAGAACTGGCAACAGGGCATTTGATAAATGGCTGGAATACTCTCTGAGTTTCTGTATCCACCTAAGAATGACTATTTCTTCTGCAAGTCCTTGTCATGGGTGATGACACCGCACTGTGGAAGAAGGGACGTTTCTAAGCAATAAAGATCTGATTCTTTCTCCCACACTCCAGGATTCAAACACCAGACTCCTATCAAGACCGTGGCTATCTTAACACCAATGATGCCATTTTACATTGATGTCTTAAGGACACAATGTGAGAAGGTTCTTCTCTGAACATCTCACAAAGCCCACAGATTAGAAGGTCGGCATATGGAGGCTGTGAAGTCTACTCACTCTTTGGTCAGAAGCGGACAGGACTTGAGCAGAAAGCGGGAGAGCGCTGAATCCTGGAAGTAGAGTTCGGGTGGGGCTGTGGGGCTCTTCAGATTCAAACATCGGACGATCACATACAGCACGGCAGCCACTGCGGCCAGCTTCACTCCGTCAAACACGGCCGGGAGCTCAGGGGTCTCCAGCATGGCATTCATCTTGATCCTGGGAGCAGAGGCACAGGTCTGGGTTTACAAGCACAGTGAGGAGCGGGGAGACTACCCACACTAAATAGGCATGCCATGCTACCCAGTGCCTGTCATGACATGTCACTATCCAGATGTGTCCACAGGGTCCACCTAGGTAGGGCCCATCAGCACCTGACAGCCACCAATGAGCTGACCAACGCCCCAAATCATGAACACACAGTCCTGGGCATGATAAATTGGGTAGGCTGTTGTTTTCTTTTTTAAATCTAATGAACATTTCTAAGATAAGCAAATTGAAAAATGCTGAGAATAGTATCCTATTGAGACAGAGAGAAGTCCAGGCAGCTTTCAATCTCTCTGCAAACCTGATCTGCTCCTGGTGCACCAGGTGTGTGCTAAGTGTTGTGTTTACAATCTTGGATAAAGACACCAGCTGGGATTGGTGTTGCCACCAGGTGTGGCTGTACTACCTGTGGGACCACACCCCTCTATTTTCTTACCAGGTTGTTACAGAGTGAATTGTGTCCCTCCCAAAATATGCTGTAAATCTTAACCTCTATGCCTGTGGATATAATCCCATTTGGGAGTGGGATGTCTTTGTTATGTTAATGAGGCAGGATTAGTGTAGACTGTGTCTCGAATCAAACTCTTCTGAGATACAAAAGAGATTAAACAAGCAAGGAAAGAAGCAGAGATCGGGGAAGAGAGATGCTAAACCACAAGATTGCTCAGGAGGAGAAGTTCAGAAGAGGCAAGGACCTTCTTCCAAAGCCAACAAAGAAAAAAAGCCTTCTCCTAGAGCCGGCACCCTGAATTCAGACTACTGGCCCCCTAAAGTGTGAGAAAATAAATTTGTTTGTTAAAGCCACCTGCTTGTGGTATTTCTGTTACAGCAGCACTAGATAACTCAGACACAAGCTGAGATAAAACAACCTCTGCCTGACTTCTCAGCCATCTGCTCACAGAAGCAGACTTGGTACTAGAGGACATTTCAGACTGCAGGCCAGACCACAGTGGTTCTAATTCCTGGGAGTGAGAAATGGTTCCAGGGAGTGAGAAATGGAGCTCTGCCAAGTTTCTTTCCCCTCATTGCAGAGGACAACTGACTATAGCCATTAGTCCAAAATTTGACCAAAACTGGACCAAGTTCACCCAAAATTAAAAACTGGAGAAGAGAAAATACATATGCATATCTGGCTTTTCCCAAACTCTCCTAATATTTCATTTTTTGAGGTATCTTAACCTTACCTTACACACACACACACACACACACACACACAACTCCAAACACATACAACTAAACATCAATAACACAAAAGAATCCAGCATTTTCCTTGCTGCTTGGCAGAAAAACAGAACATCAGATGTTACCTTAAAACACAGGGAAACCACAAGCTAACAAAAAGAAGAAAATGGTAACCATCACAGCCAAGGTAGCTATGGCAACAGCTTCCCCTGGAACAGTTTTAAGTAGCCTCTGCTAAAAACAGTCATCATGGGAACTCTCGTAGTCAACGGTGGAGACAGAATAGGCAAAAGGAAACAATCTCTAGTAAAACACATTTGGGCATAACCGAATGAACCCTCTGAGATCTACAGCAAGGCCAGACGGGACTCAGGAACTTTTTTCCAAAGTCAAGGTGACTTTTGCAAACACAGGCCCCAACACTGCAGACCATCTTTGGCAGGGAGTTCCCAACTTAGCGTGGGAAGGAAATCAACAATCAAAGCTCCTTAACTAGCATTCCACCATGGGGACAAAAAAAGATTTAAAAATTTATCTGACCCAATTTTCTATTCGGTCAATTAGCCTAATGTCTTTAGAGTCTCTGTTCTACCTCCTAGTTCAGTGAGTAGTGCCTGGGGTCTTAAAAGCTTGTAAGTGGCCACCCAAGATACAACAACTGGTCTCTACTCGCTTGGAGCAACAGAGGAAGAAGAAGACATTGGAATCGGGGAAGGAAATGGACTGCCTGGCTACCACTACTGAACGTTTTGATCAAGGACCCAGTAGATGGTTCTTGATCAAAAAGAGGAAAAATGTAGCACAGAACTTCAAATTCTCATGGAAATCAGACTTAATGGATCCACTGAGACTGAGTAAACCCTTGAATCTAACACCTGTAAACAATTTTTAAATCTTAAACCAATACTATGCTATGAAGTCATTTTTAAACTGAACAACAGTTTAGCTCAATTAGTAAAGAATATCTTCCTGGAGCACTGCATGCACTGTTTTAAAGAATTATCCATATGAGATCAAATTGACAAGAGTAACTCTGAAGCACAGATGAGAACTTTAAGAGTCAGAGTCTAAGTTAATCGGGTGAAACAATATGGGCAAAGATAGTGAGAATGGTGACACAATGTGTAATATGTAACCTTTGTCACTGAACTGCTCATGTAAAAACTGCTGAATGGGTGTATGTTGTGTTGTGAACATTTTCACCAAAAATTAAAAAAAAAAATTTATTTGACCCAATTTTGAATCAAGGCTGGACCTCAGGATACACTCTCAGCTGCATCATTCTTGCACTTTTATAAGCTGACATTTTCCTTAAAACTTAATTTCTGATGTGTCACTGCACTCCTGGGGCCATATCTCCTGAAGGCTAGCTATCTATAAATCTCTATAATGAGGATTCTTGACTTGGGGTCTATGGATCCCCTATGGGATCTGGGGATCAGAGACACCCTGAAATCATCTGCAGAAGTGTGTGCATATCTACAGTTTTCTATGGAGAGGTTCTCACAGCTTTAATCAGATTCTCAAAGAGATCTGTCCCTAAAAGATGCACAGCACTGTACTAAAAGGCACTCCACGTGTTAACCTGTGGCTCACGTCCCTCACTGGTCATAGCCCTGCTGCCTATGCCAGTCAAACCGATGCTGAACAAATATCCACAATGATGCAGCTTGTTAATACAGATTTTTAAAAAATCCAGCAGAAATTCTAGTTTCTCTGACTATGATGCTGATAATCTGGAACTGAAATAGAAGTTCTTCCTTGTCCCCTTTGTTGGAAAGAGAACAGAGCAATGCAGCAGGTGGCCTGACCAGTTTCCTGTTGGTCTGGAGTAGACTTATTAAATAAAAATAAATACATAAACAAGTCCTTCCCTTCCCACATCTCCTCACTACTCACTGACTTGAGGGGAGGCAGAGAGAAGAAGCAAAAATAAGAGTCTTAGCAATACATACCTATTTCACTTGTTGCTCTCGACAGGGAATATTAATTATCCTTGAAGAATTGTTTGGCTGGGCTGTTCAGGTCAGATCTCTTATACAAATAACCTAAAAGCTGAAAAAGATGGTGATGTTTTAAAGAGCGAGAAAGAAGCAATTTAAATTAAACATAAGACCGTCTTAGTTTCTCTGCTTACGTATAGTCTTTAGGGGAAAAGACAATTTCTTCCAATAAACACATAGCCCATACTCTTGGACACTTTACTATTTTAACAAAGCTGCTGGATTTGTACATCCCAAACTGACAGGCTCTCTCTGGTTTCCAGGACAAGCTACCTGCTGCACGCATAACTCTGGCTAAGGCAAGCTCATACTACATTTACTCTTTACCTCATAATACAGCCATCAGAAATGCTAACGGGACACGTATCATCTCTATGTGACCAACGAAATAACTTAATGAGGTTTTAGGTCAAAACAGAACAGTCAAGTGACTCATTCCCTCTCTTTCAAACATATAGCAATGACAGAAAAAATGGACTCTAGAAAATTTAAATGGCACAGCTGAGCTCAAAAATGGAACAAAATCAAGGGCTGTGTCACGGCCTTCCAGGGTTGGGTCCAGATCGGGGGCTGGCTGCTGGCTGCAGAAGGGCACCAGGAGGTAGAAGTGCTCACGGCGAGATGGGGAGCCAGAGCCAGGCCCACTGGAGAAGCCCACTAAAAGATTTATGGCCTCAAAGCAGCAGAGGAAATAAGAAAAAGAGAACATGGGGGAAAAACAGCCAACGTTTATATAGCACTCTCTATGTGCCAAGCACCCTTCTTCATACTTCATACATACTGACTCAGTTAATTCGCACCACAACCATATGAAGTAGGTACTATGATTATGCCCATTCTACAGATGAGGAAACTGAGGCATAGAAACTTTAAGTAACTTGCCCAAAGTCACACAGCTAATAGAGAAGGCAGGATTTGAATCCTGGCTATCTGGCTCTAGACCCTCCTCTTAACCACCATGTTATGCTACTCAAAAGCTGGAAAAGTAGAGAAAGAAAGAAAGGTGGGAGAGAAAGAAAATGGATGGTACAGAAGACACGAAATACTCAAAATGAGACGCTCAAGGCTCGTCCAAAGTCACACAGCTGGGAAATAGCAGAACTGGGATCCAAGCCCAACTTTCTCCATACCAAAATGATTTAAGAAGAAAATGAAAGCCTATTTAAGGGGAGAATCAATGGCCCTTCAAAGTAGTCTTGTTCAACTTCAAATTTTTTTTATTTCTTCATATTCTGAGACAAATTCACTATAGAGGACCAGGCTTTGTTGAGGTGGGGACTAAAGAACAAAGTCACAAGCCACTTGACCTCTCTAGGGCTCGGCTGTCAACTGAAAAACAAGGAGTGGACCAGATCAAAGCTCTTCAACTGGCAGCCCATGGGTTGGTGTTGCATTTATCCAGCACCCTGGTGGTACAGTGGTTGAGTGCTCGGCTACTAACCGAAAGGTTGGCGGTAAGAACCCATCAGCTGCTCTGTCAAGATTACAGTCTTGGAAACCCTCTGAGGCAGTTCTACTCTGTCCTATAGGGTCTCGATGAGTTGGAATCGTCGACTGCAAGAAGTTCGTTTTTTTTTGGTTATTGTTTATTTTGTTTTAATTGAATTAATTAGTTGCCAAGTTATATACTCTGGATTTCAGATAAAAATCTAGACTTCTGGATTCTCTTGGGTGGAAAAAAAATCTGAGTATCTAGCAACACTGAGCCAGCAGTCCCACATGGCAACAATGAATAGAGGTTAAGTGGCGGCTACCCCCTTTAGACAGGGCAGGCTCTCTCCAGGATGCCACAGGCTCTACCACTGTCTATTATAGTCCCCAACACTGACCTTGGCCTACTTTAATCATTTATGGTACCTGAATTGTCCCTGTAGGCAATGGAATATGCAGCCCTTGGAGAAAACTGTCTAATGTCCCTTCTAGCCCTGGATAAGTCTGTACTGATTGAATATTAAAAAATACGCACTATCAGGGTATGTATATAAATGGTACATTCACTGAAAAAATTAAAGAAAGGCAGAGTGGTAAAACTAATAGGATAACAAGATGTTGTTGTTGTTAGGTGCTGTCAAATTGATTCTGACTCATAGCAACATTATGTACAATAGAATAAAACACTGCCTGGTCCTGCGCCATCCTCACAATTGTTGCTATGCTTGAGCTCATCGTTGCAGCCACTGTGTTAATCCATCTCATTGAGGGTCTTCCTCTCTTTCATTGACCCTCTACTTTACAAAGCATGATGTTCTTCTCCAGGGACTGGTCCCCTCCTGATAACATGCCCAAAGTACTTGAGATGAAGTCTTGCCATCCTCGCTTCCAGGGAGTATTCTGGCTGTACTTCTTCCAAGACAGATTTGTTTGTTCTTCTGGCAGTCCACGGTACATTCAATACTCTTCGCCAACACCATAATTCAAAGGCATCAATTCTTCAGTCTTCCTTATTCACTGTCCAGCTTTCACATGCATAAGGGGCGACTGAAAATATCACGGCTTGGGTCAAGTGTACCTTAGTCCTCAAAGTGACATCTTTGCTTTTAAACACTTTAAGCAGGTCTTTGGCAGTAGATCTGCACAATGAAATATGTTGTTTGATTTCTTAACTGCTGCTTCCATGGGCGCTGATTGTGGACTCAAGTAAAATGAAATCACCATCAAATTCAATCTTTTCTCCGTTTATCATGATGTTGCTTACTGGTCCAGTTGTGAGGATTTCTGTTTTCTTTATGTCGAAGTGAAGTCCATACTGAAGGTTGTAGTCTTTGATCTTCAACAGTAAGTGCTTCAAGTCCTCTTTGCTTTCAACAAGCAAGGTTGTGTCATCTGCCCGTTGCAGGTTGTTAATGAGTCTTCCTCCAATCCTGATGCCCCGTTCTTCTTCATATAGTCCAGCTTCTTGGATTATTTGCTCAGCATGTAATTACATAAGCACGGTGAAAGGATACAACGCTGACGCACATCTTTCCTGATTTTAAACCATGCACTATCCTCTTGCTCTGTTCGAAAGACTGCCTCTTTGTCTATGTACAGGCTCCTCATGAGCACAATTAAGTGTTTTGGTATTCTCATTCTTTGCAATGTTATCCATAATTTATGGTGATCCACACAGCTGAATGCATTTACATAGTCAATAAAACACAGGTAAACATCTTTCTGATATTCTCTGCTTTCGGCCAAGATCCATCTGACAAGATGTAGCACATTTTATTTATTATATCTAAGTTGATGTTTACTTATACCTTGACTCTTTCCATAAACTATTTAAAATGGCTTTGGCATAAACACCTCACTGAATGTATATGCATAGAGAAAGATTCAGAAATCAGACTAATTGCTTCCCAATATTAAGTCTCCCTTTTTGTCTTAGTAACAGAAATGTGTCCAGGTGAAAAAACTACATAGCCCAGCCTCCCTTGCAGCTAGGTAAGTCCATGTGATCAGACTGTGGCCAGTTCTGGAGGGGTTCATCTGATTTCTGGATGTTGTTGTCAGATGCTATTGAGTCGGTTCCAACTCATAGCGACCCTATGTACAACAGAATGAAATACTGCCCAGTGTCGTGCCATCTTCAAAATCATTGCTACTTTTGGGCCCACTGTTGCAGCCACTGTCTCAATCCGTCTCGCTGAGGCTCTCCTTAAAAGACAGGGAGTTAGCCCTTCTTCTGACCTTTTCCCTTCCCAACTCCAACAGTCATCTTGGGCCATGAAGTGACCTTGAGGTTACTCTAGGAACACATTAAGAACAGAGTAGAAAGACAGAAGTCTGGGTCCCTGATGATTTAACAGAGCCACCATATCAGACCTAGGCTGCCTACCTCAGAATTTCTTCTACATGAGAAAATAAACCCTTGTGTGTTTAAGCCACTGCTATTTCTAGACTCTTTTAGTCTACAATTTCTAATGATATAAGTAAATACTTTATACCTAAATCTTTATGGAGAGTTCCTATGCGGGGCAAAGGATTAACACACTTGGCTGCTAACTAAAAGGTGGTTCAAGTCTACCCAGAGGCGCCTTGGAAGAAAGGCCTATGATCTACTTCCAAAAAATCAGCCACTGAAAACCCTATGGAGCATAGCTCTACTCTGACACACATGGGGTCGCTATGAGTTGGAATTGACTCTACAGCAAGTGGATTTTTTCCCTAAATCTTTATGGATGCTACAATTGTTAGCAAATTTGTTGACAATTTTTTTTCCCATTTTCCAAAATTCATAATAATCATTTACTATTTTCTGTCATTATGAAAAAAGCTTTGAAATAGCAACTAACAAAACTTAAGAAGCAATTTTTAAAAACCCGGACTAGAAACAGGAAAATATATATGCCAACATACACAACAAATATCTATGTGGTTAAGCTTAGAATGTATCTGAGATTTCTGACTGTCAGGGCAAAGGGGAAGCCCAGTCAAGACGTATAGTCCTCCAGAATGCAAAGAGAGCTACCATTTATGGTGCTCTTACCCTCAACCCTCAGAAAGCATGTCAGATGCTCAAGAAACAGAGCTTTACTGGCACAGAATTAAAAAAAACCTGTGGGACTTTACATAAGGGGACCTTGAGTGATGTGACAGACAATGTCCTCCTACAACTTTTTTTTTTTAAATAGCAAATGCAGTAGAAAATTAATTTCCTAAACCCTCAAAAAATGTCAAAGGTTTAAAACTAAATTAAATTTGGCGAAGGCAATCCTATGAGAAGTTTATAGTTATTGTGGTCCAGATATGCAGTCTTGATCCAAGGTCTGAAGCTGAAGTAACAAGGAGCAGGGCAGTTCTATCACATGCCCTCAGGGCCACCTCCCTTGAACTTGAGTGGGCTTAAATAGCTGGCAACCTACTGTGTGTCTAGCACTATTGTAAGCACTGTCTAGAACCACAATTAAGTAGATCTCTCATTTTAACTGGGGAGAAAAGTTTATGTTAAGGCTATAAGCACTTCAAGGGGCCCTGGTAGCCAAGTGGTTAGAGTGCTCAGCTGCTAACCAAAAGGTCGGTGGTTCAAACCCACCAGCCACTCTGGGCGAGCAAGGTATGGTAGTCCGCTCC